TATAAATTCAGTGTTGAAGTTCTTTTCGAAGCATAAATGAGGGTTTATAATTTGAATGACATTTGTAAAGTAAATGTTTATATATCGAATTTATTGAGTTATTTAACGATTTGAGAAAAGACATTTCTTAGGAAGAAATATTTGAAAAAACAGAAGTTTTACTGAAGTTTTTGTTTTAATGAGTTATAGAATTCATGAAAGGATTTGTAATAAAGAACTTCTAATAATGATTCTACATTCACTTTTATTGACAGCATATTAAATGGCTCTCAAAAGGTAGAAAGTTATAAAGCGAAACTATGTAAATGAAACTAGATTAAGTACATTAATTAATTAATGAATAATTTAATTATATTACATCAAACAGTTTACTAAATCACGTAACTCAATTGGATGACATTACATAGAAAAACGACGAAAACAGCTGATAGATATTGGAGGAAATTTAAGTGTGTAGATGAATTTTAAACAAAATACATTTAAACCACAATAAAATTATGAGTATATACTTGTTTCTAAAAACAATATATAACATAATTATTATCAGAAGGGGTTTTTTGGAGATTGTATTAATTTTCAATAGTTGAGATTATGAGTCAATTGAAGCTAAACCACCATAGAAAACCTGGAAGCACTGGACGGAGGTCACTCAGATTCCAGAAAATGGTCATCAACAATTCAATAACTTAACACTTTACGAACATATGTCAACAGCTAATACTAGTAAATGTGAAGGTTGTGGAAATGTTTGCAAAGATCAAAGAATTATAAATAATACTGGTACTCCACTTAATCTAAATGAAACATCTGTAGATAATTATGAAAATAATGAATTACTAGATTTGTGTTTTTCATCAACCAGTATAGTGATTCCAGAATCTACATAAAGTAATTAAAACTGAACAATTATTTTTTCTGTGTTATATAGTACTAAAAAATTTAACCTCATTCATTCAACGATGCATGTTTCATAACATTGGATTTTCTTTGAGTGACCGTTCATTACCTTGGTTGTAGAAACAATCAAAAGTATTCATATTATTAACTAAAAATATGTAGTGCTTACTGATTGATTTTGAATGTAATTTATGTAGCTTCTAATTCACTTAATCTTTATTCTTGTCAAGAATATAGTTCATATTAAACTTATTATTACGTAAGTGACATTTTGCGTACTTCTATATTAAGTATGGTTTAAAATAAAAGTTTAAAGTAAACACATCCTTAATTCTGATGTCGATTATTTGTAGGAATACTCAGATTATATGGATTTGAGTCCTGGATACTGAATTTGTGAGATTATGATTGTAAATAATTCGTAAGGTATCATTATTATCGAATAGTCATCATAAAATGAAGACAGATTAAAAGAAATTCTAGTAGTTGTTTAGTAACATTTCTCAACCTAATTTAATGGAAATTCTAGATTTTATAAAATTGTTTACAGGAATAAATAAACATCAAACATACTCCTACAATCTTGTGGTGACAGTAAGAAATACAGCTAAGTGGATATTATAGCCATTTGTTTACGGAATAGAAAAGACAATGTTAAGGTTTTCATTACCTGTAATACTTATGTATCCAATCAATTATTTGAATATAGTTTGATTTCTATTTAAGTAGCTAAGATGGTCAGTTTGCCACACCTAAGTTGTTCACACAATGTAATAAGGATTATTGATTACAAATTTCGTTAGGCGCGTATACATCAAACTTTATGAATCACTTTCAGGCTGCAACATAGCCTTTAAAAGGTTTAATGTTGAGATACTTATAAAGATAATTCATAATCGGTTTTATCTAGTACATTATGAATAAAAGTGGTTATAGATAACACCATTTTTTGCACGGATTTATGCACGTAACTATGAACAAATGTTAACAAAAATATTTTATTTCTCAGCTACAAGCAAATAATATGAATGATCTGCTTCGAATGTCAGTCAAACCATCTCTAATGAGCTACAGCCAGGAGACATTAAAAAACTAGATACGTTATATTTAGATGACAACCCCTGAAAACGTAAAAACGAATTCAGTGAAATATAGTTTAATGTGATTTGTCACAGTAAACAGATTTCATCTGATGTTAGAAACAATATACGGGATTATCAAGGCCACAATATTTATTACTGTTGGAGGTCAGATAAACACAAAATTAAGTAGTTACTTACCTACGCCTGTTACTCCCCGTGCACGGGCATAGGTCAACTACTAGCATTCTCTATCCAACTCTGTCCTGGACAATACTTTATAGTTGCTATTCATCCTTTTCATGTCTGCTTTCAAATCCCAACGCACAGTGTTATTTGATCTTACAATTTTCCATTCCATTTCATCATTTCAAGTTAGGGCTTGACTCGTGATGCAGTTTGATGATTTCTTCAACGTATTTCCTATCCACCTTTAGTGTCATTCCTTAATTTCCTCCTCAGCTCAAACCTGGTTTGTCCTCTGTTACAGTAGCCTGTTGCTGATGATAGCCAGCCAACGGACATTGAGTATCTTACGTAGACAATTGTTTATAAATACCTGTACCATTTTGATTATGGTTGTAGTAGTTCTGGAAGATTCAGCAGCGTACAGTAGAACTGTCTTGACATTCTTATTGAAGATTGTGACTTTGATATTGGTTGAGAGGAAGTTGTTTTGAGTTGCGAATGTTGTTCAACTGTAGAGATGCTGTACTTACTTTGCCAATCCTTGTCTCTACGTGTGCATCAGATCCTCCACGTTCATCGATGATACTGTCCAGATAGGCACATGAATGTTTACACCTATTGCAGAGCTTCTCCATCAAGTGTGATTGTATTGTTGTTCTCCGTGTTGTATTTCAGGATGATGGTTTTTCATACTGATGTAGAGGCTGCTGCCACTCTGCTGAAAACTTTTCCCACTACCGATAGTAGTATGATGTTTCTCTAGTTAGTCGTTACATTTGCTCAGATCACCTTTCTTTGGTATCTTGATGAGGTATCCTTCTTTCCAGTCAGTCGGTGGCACCTGTTCTTCATCCCAAATCTTCCTGAAAAGAACGCGGTATATATTTGTAGTTATTTCTATGTGCGACTTCATTGCTTCAGCTGGTATATTATCAGGTTCTTCTGCTTTCTCATGCTCCATTTTTCTGGTGGCCATCCATATTTCTCCGATTATTGGCGGAGCGATGGCTATAGGAAGATCTGTGTGTGCTGCTTTGATGCCCAGTGGTTTGAATGGAGCTGTTCTATTCATGAGTTGCTCAAAGTGCTCTACCCACTTGTCCCTCTGTCCATGAACGTCAGTGATTGTCCTGCCTACTTAGTCTTTGACCGGTCTTTCTGGTTTACCAAAATATCCCGGACAGTTTCTTCGTTGAATCATATAGTTGTTTCAAATACCCTTCTCTTTCACATTTTCCCCTGTCATTGCTACGTGTTCCATGTATTTCTGCTTGTCAGTTCTGATGTTCTCCTTCACTTGCTTGTTTGTTTCTGTGTATTCAGTTTGTGACTTGAATTTCTCTGTTGTTGTTGTTCGGCTGTTGTTGTTTACTATATTCATGTTCTTCCTTTCTTGATACAAAACACGGTTTCCATAGAGATCCATTCCTTACCATGATGCTCCTTACAGCACAGCGATTCCCGACACATAAGAGTTAGTGTTTGCTTGATACATTTCCACCTGTTCTCCATTGTAGTTTCCTCTTCTTTCAGTAGATCCTGTAATTTTTGGAACCAGTTGTTGAGATCTATCATGAATTGGTTGGGTTTGTCAGTGTGTCGAATGTAAGGCTGTATTGAACATTCGTAATGCTATTTCCCTAGTTGTCCATTGCTTATTCAGTTTCAGTTGCATTCTGGCAGTCACTGGGTCATTGGTGATCTGAAACTATATCATCTCCTCTCCTGGTTCTCACATCTTCCATTGACCTATTGAATTTCCAAGAGATGCAAATATGATCGATCTGATTCTGTGTAGTGTGGTGCAGTGAGATCTATGTAACCTTGTGTATGCGTTTGTGTGAGAATATTTTGCCACCGGTGATAATTTTGTCGAATACACATAAATGTGCAGATATCTCACCATTCTCGTTCATTCCTCCTAATCAGTCCATGTCGTCCCATGATATTTTCATATCCGGTGTTATCCATTCTGACGTTGGTGTTTAAGTTAACGTGAGTATGGTTTGTCGTTTCCTGACCACTTCACCATGATCGACTGCAGCTCTCGTAAAACTGATCACTATCACTATCATTTCTATCACTGATGGGTTCACAACATTGGATAGTATTCATTGTAATATCCTCCTTCTCTCTTTTCAATGACGCTTTGATGATTGTGGATCCATGTGATTGCTATCTTGTAATTGCTTTAGGTGTTTCTCTGAATAGCATCAGAGCAACTCTGTGAGTGTGTGGAGCATTTGCATCTTCGCGATCAGAGCACTGAAGCATCTCTCTCGAATCAAATCTAATCTATTCTGTTCAGTTTGGCTTCAATGGATTGTACTGATTCCGAGCACGATGAAGTTGTATCTCCTCATTTCCGTAGCTTTTCGACTGGTCCTTCCGGACTCACACACTGTCCGAGCATTCCATGTACACATACTAGTTGCAGCTGTGGTTATTAGAAGGAGTATCGTTCTGATGATTTGCGAAGAATCTCGGGTTTCACTATGAGGTGTCATAATTCTTTGGATGAAGATGCTTGTACTTGGAAGACATAGTTTAGATGTTTTTAATTGTTTTTTTCTGGTTAACGTTTTTTGGTAATGTTGTTTTCTACTGAATGTGGTTGGTGTCTCCGTGCCCAACCATACTCCTTTATCCAGTTTGGGGACCGGTAGTTATAGTAGAAGAGCTACAGGCGGAGTTAAAAACTTGAGTTTCTAATGATTTTTAACAATTTTCGACGTAGCTGGTTACAAAGAATGAGAGATTTACGATTTTCAATTTAGTAAATATTTGTTTTAATTCATCTTACAAAACTGATATGTATATAGACTAAAAACTCACCTAATCCATATGCTATTAAATCTAATGTTGTTAAACATCGGTTTAAACCAGTTTTGAGTAGTTCTTTCATATCACGTCCTATTTCCTTTTTACGAAACAATCCGGAAGCCACAGCATTTCCATACTCCTCACAACATTCACATTTTTTATGTTTTGTATCGGACATTAATATATTTGGCCAACGATAGATGGAAAATTAATAAGAGTTAATAAGGGAATAATATGTATCTGATCCACTTTTTATGCACAGTAATATGTTTATGTGACATTATCTGAATAAATTGAGCTTTAATATTCCTAAAAGCAGTCCCTTCCTTTTGATTGGTGTATTTGAAGTCGGAATTTTATTGGATAATATGAAATGGAAACAATAGCTTGTTTACTTTAATTGAGTATATATACATATTGACCTCATATGTGCTTGAAGCAAATTATTATATGCCTTTTTAAGTATTGATTTTTAGTTGGAGAGAAATGAACATGAACCTGAGTGCTTGTACATTTCCTTGTACGTATTGATATCAATCATTATTTTTTTTGTATGAAACATGACAATAAACAAGTTTTGTCTGTGCTATTTTTAACGGGCTTGTTTTGTATACCTTTGAAAGTACATATATAGTTTTTATCATTAGAAATATAGTTTTAGGTTGATTTAAATCATGTACTGTAATGATAGTAGAACCAAGCTTGTTAAACTTGTTCCTCCAGGACAAAACATCTAATTTCTGATTGTATAAATGAAGTCAATTTAAGATTTAGAGTATTTTCAGGATATTATTCAATGGAGCAAAGAGCTACGAAACAAATACATTTTTATATGTTTACGATCAAAGAAATGAACAGAGACGAAATCTTCGTTTACGATTTCAAACATTCATTTATTCATTAGACTAGTGGTTTTTATTCGCTCAAATAAATTGATGAAAATGATAGAACTTACATGAACGTTCTGTAATTTACGACCCATGTTTCCAGTATCATTTTTTGTCTGTCATGAAAATTTAGTTAATGAAAGTTTATATACGGTTAATAGTAACCTTTTTTTAAGGTGGTGGATTTTGTGCTGGTGATGTCATTCAGAAGAACGATAAAAGCTCCACGACCAAACCACCCAGCTCAGAGAAGAAAACTTCATCAAAACCTTTTTTTACCTAAATCATTAGCTATATTTTCCTAACATATACAAGTCATAATCTTTATATATTTAAAATTTCAGTAGCTATATAAGACGGAAGCATCATAGTCTTAGAGCAGCACCGTTAAATAGTAAAATGTTAACTTTTTAATAGAAATAAACATAAGTAATAGTGAGGTTTATGTTTACATATTGATAGTTTGTGTACATTATTCCATTATCTATCCAATATAACTGATCATTTGTAGACAAAAGTGAATAATGATTTACTCACTTATAGAAGTTATTTGTAGGCTTTTTTTGTTTCATTCAAGTACCAACCTGTATATGTTTAGATCACTCAGCAACCTTATTTCTAAGGTGATTAACTATCCAAATTTGTTTTGTAAATTAAGTTAGCTGTCATGTGTAGTGTTAGTCGTAAGCTGACTATATTATTTAACAAATATACCTATCCCCTTGAATTAATCCTATCTAATGTAATAACAACAACTGTGGTAACATGTTTACGCATGTTGACAAGTCTGGTTTTAATAAAATTCACTGATTACACGAATGTGTTTATAACCTTGAATTTATTTAGTTCTTGAATAATGTATTCGAAACTGTGTCACTGATAACACTTTTTGAACACAAGTTAGAAAACTGAATCGATGTGAAAATAATATTTTTGTAGATATGCATCAAATTATTATTACCTTTGAAACCATGGAAGTATAACAGCAGTTTATTAATTGAAATAAATATTTTATTAAGTACTCATGATTTGACTCTGGTACATCAATGACACATACGTCCAAGAATAAAGGAAAGAACAGAACATTGTAAACTTGGACAAGAGAGAGAATTGGAAGAATGGGATGCCCCAACAAACAGTTTGTTACAACGTTCTGCTGTCAATCTCCCATAACTTTCCCCAATTTTGCATTTAGTGTGTGATGGAGGAGGTTTTAGTGGCCCGAGATCGGACTTTAGTTTCATTGTTTCTAATTGCTGTTGAAATATAAATATCACCAATCCTCGCATAAAATCATTGACTTAGATCGCGTTAGTAAATAACGGGATTAAATAAGTCAATTACGAGAATGGAGTTTTGAATACGTACTTTTTGTACTATTGTTGATCGGCACAGATAATCAGCGAAATGGAACAAAGGAAGCGAAGAAGATAGATAGATAAAGAGAAGTGACGCCAAATGACGCATAGTGGAGTAGGCGTATAAGCCAACACTATTTCATCAAGCGTTAATCGATATTTATAGTCAGATAAAAGCAAGTTACAGACATGTGATGAGTTAGATAAGAAATGGAGACATATAAGCTTACATAAAAACAGTCAAGGTTGATAAGTCAATAATTAATAAGGTTAAAATGTAGCCTGAGGAGGATGGATAAAATGGTTTGTCCAGAAACTAGAATAAGTTATATGAGCTAAACATAGTAACTGACACCACAAGGTTTTTGATGATTTCATGAACGTATTTTCTATTTTGAAATCAACAAGCGGAATGAAAGTTGATAAATGATATAGTGCGACCGACTGTTGTTTGTTCGCGAGACCTCATCATTGAATTTAACATTCAATTATTTGAAATCAAAAACAAGACCACTAGCAAAAATAGTCGATGCAATAAAATAACTTGCTTATTTACAGAATATTAACACAAAATAAGTATGATAAAACGTCATAGGTGACTGGAGAAAATTAGCTTGTGGGTTCTTTATTCTCCAATCAATCATGATCTGATTGTAAAGCCCAATTTTCGCGCATCGTACCAAGTGTCATTCAAATCCTAAATACTTTAAGTAGAAAAAGTACTTTCGCTATCGATCATTATACATTATTGACGTTTTGATCTCTCTGTCAAATTGATTTCTACAAGACTTTGAACTATTTGATGACTTCAGAGGAGAAAATTCTTTACTTTCCACCATATATTGCATATATTAAATGAAATATTAAGAACCATGATCGAATAGAGAAATTAGTGTTATTTAAGTCAACTACTGTGTAAGTAGTATGATAATACATTCATAAAATCTCAATTGTACACTTTTTAGTAGCTTATAGATAATGAAGATAAAAAATGACTTGAAAATGTATTAGCGAAACAAAACTCTTGAATATCACCCATATACTACACTTAAGAGAACTCGTTAGAGTACATTAAAATACACTGTATTATCCCACTATTATATGTATTTGTCACACTAATGTATATTCAGATATAAAAACATATATCAATTCAACATAGATAACCTCAATTTTAATTTTATTTTCATAGTGATTACATTTGAATGATGAAAGAAAGGGATGATTAGTTATTTTTAAACTTGGTACATGAATTTCAATTCTACTGTATAGTCTAATGTTAGAAATTTTATTGGTTTTAATTAATATACTTACTTACTTACGCCTGTTACTCCTCGTGAAGAAACATAGGCCGCTCACCAGCATTCTCCATCCAACCTTGTCCCAAGCAATCCTTTCCAGTTGTTATTCATCCTTTCCATATCTGCTTCCATTTTTCGACGTTATGTGTTCTTTGACCTTCCTCTTTTCCACTTCCCTTCAGGATTCCAAGTTAGGGCTTGCCTCATGATGCAGTTTGACGATTTGCGTAGTGTATGTCTTATCCATTTCCATCGTCCTTTCCTAATTTTCTCTTCAGTTGGAAGCTGATTTGTTCTCTCCCACAAAAGGCTGTTGCTGATGGTATCCGGCCAATGGATGTTGAGTATTTTGCGTAGACAGCTATTTATAAATACTTGTACCTTCTTGATGATGGTTGTTGTAGTTCTCCAAGTTTCAGCTCCGTACAGTAGAACTGACTGTCTTGACGTTCGTATTGAAGATTCTCACTTTGATATTGGTTGAAAGTTGTTTTGAGTTCCATATGTTCTTCAATTGTAGGAATGCTGTCCTTGCTTTGCCAATCCTCGCCTTTACGTCTGCATCTGAACCTCCTTGTTCATCGATGATGCTTCCCAGGTATGTGAAGGATTCTACATCTTCCAGAGTTTCGCCATCAAGTGTGATTGGATTGCTGTTCTTCGTGTTGTGTTTGAGGACCTTGGTTTTCCCCTTGTGTATGTTGAGGCCTACTGATGCAGAGACTGCTGCTACACTGGCTGTCTTTATCTGCATTTGTTCGTGTGTATGCGATAGGAGGGCTTGGTCATCTGCGAAGTCCAAATCGTCTAATTGATTCTGAGCTGTCCATTGTATTCCGTGTTTTCCTTCAGATGTCGAGGTCTTCATAATCCAGTCGACCACCAGAAGAAAGAGGAAGGGAGAGAGTAGACAGCCTTGTCTGACTCCGGTCCTTACTTGGAATGCATCTGTCAGCTGTCCTCCATGCACGACTTTGCACTGTAGTCCGTCGTATGAGTTCCCGATAATATTGACAATCTTCTCAGGAACTCCGTAGTGTCGAAGAAGTTTCCATAATGTCCTCCTATCTACACTGTCGAATGCCTTTTCATAATCAATGAAGTTGATGTATAGTGATGAGTTCCACTCAACTGATTGTTCGACGATGATCCGTAGTGTTGCAATTTGGTCTGTGCACGACCGATCCTTACGGAATCCAGCTTGTTGATCTCGAAGTTGGGCGTCTACTGCATCCTTCATCCGGTTCAGCAACACTCTGTTGAAGACTTTTCCTGGTATTGACAGTAGTGTAATGCCTCTGTAGTTTTCACATTTGCTCAGATCTCCTTTCTTTGGAATCTTGACGAGGTGTCCTTCTTTCCAGTCCATCGGCACTTGTTCCTCCTCCCAAATCTTTTTGAATAGAAGGTAAGCATGCTTGTAGTTACTTCGATGTCTGACTTCAGTGCTTCAGCTGGTATGTTGTCGGGTCCTGCTGCTTTCCCGCTCTTGATTTGTCTGATGGCCATTCTGATTTCTTCCGTCGTTGGTGGGTTGACATCTATAGGAAGATCTGTGTGTGCTGCTTCGATGTCCGGTGGATTCATTGGAGCCGGCCTATTCAGGAGTTTCTCGAAGTACTCTACCCATCTGTT